CTCTTATAGTTGACCGTTAAATGTATGATGTGGCAATTAAAAAATAAATTTAAAATTTACACCTCATTATCACTATCATTAAAAATAAAAAAATATTCATTTTAATTACCTAATCTCAGCTCACCCTTCTTTCTCACCATCCCCCGACCCGAGATTTCTAGCCTTCATGAATCCCCAATAATGGGCCGCGGCGCCGCGGGGAAGGGGAAGGTATGGCGAGCACTGGGAAATAAAGGGTTTCGACGTCGCGGCGGAGGAGTCGTACTGTGGGCTGCTCTGCGATGCTGAATGAATAGTCCTTAAAATGGACGCTGCAAGCTCTAGGGCTCATCTCCGTCAACGCCGACGGAGTCGGCGACACCTGCAATCCGATTGCTAGAATTTACTGGAGAATCTTGGATCTGTTCGTTCGTCTTGTGATGGGGGTGTAAGAGGAGTAGCTGTTCCTGATCTTGTGCTTCCCTTTGAAGCTTCGAGATCCATCTTTCACAATATTGATGTTTTTCTCCATCAATGTCGGCATCCAACTGTACGGATGACCCATCAATTTCCATTCCCCAATTGCTCCAAAATAAAAACAGGGGAAGGAGATTATGGCAATATACTCATGTAATTAGTGGGTATGTATCGATTATCTTGCGTTGATCTCCTGTGCGAAGAGCACGGTCTCTGGCCGCTGGCGGTAGGCTTCCCGTCCTCCGCCGACGTTCGATGATTTCAGCTCCGGTACTGGATTTTGGTGAGGGAGAGCAGCTACGCCGAGGAATTTCATGAATCCGGGTAGCCGAACAGGTGATTAGCCGGTTGACAGAGCGAATCTCGACGGAGGAATTTGAGGCAGTGGTGGTGGAATGGTTCAGGGAGCTTATCGCGGACCCCCAAATCACAATGGACTCTTTACAATTTCCTCAAACTGAAGAGCATCTGTGGCTCGGTCGGCGGCGAAAAAGTAGATTGATGTATGGAAACCGGTGAAGGGGTAATCAGGTATGGTTTGGTGTGTTGCAATTATAGGAAATTAAAATTATATATTTTTTTAAAAGTTATGAAAATGAGATGGAAAATTTAAGAGTTTAAATTTAATTTTTTATTATTATTTAATTGCCACGTCGCACATTTAACGGTCAACTATCAGAGTTGACTGCCACATCGGACTCAATTAACGGAGTTGGATGGAGAGTGACCAAATATGACATGTTTTACTAAACCTAGTGACGAATAATGGATTTAAATTTTTTTAGTGACTAAACATGAACTGTTTTAGTAATCACAGTTACCAACCTTGCAATTTACCCCCTTAAAAACACATCCTCGAGTAGGCAAACCGTTCAACGGGTGGAAGTTTTACTTGTACTAGAGACAACTTAGCTTCACCCTGTAGGAGTACCCCCCTAAGGATCACTAAAATCTCTTCCAAAACCCGATTTTGTGCAATGAACGGTGCCACACACGTTGGGCTTACCCCATGTTTAAGATTTCAATGATTTTGACATGGAGGACCAACTACTTTTCATTTCCCACATGAGCACCCTGTTCGATACACGAGTCCATAACACAATTCAAATAGAGTCACCATTACCACATGAATTCAACGGTCTTAGCTCCACTAATTCACAAAATCAACCGACACAGTAGAGAGCTAGATAGGAAAAATCTTATACTTCAACATCCTCCATAGTGCTACACTACCTCCCTAGGTTGCACATTACTACAGAGACTGTCAATTCAAAGCAAACTGAGTAGGCAATTTGCAAGGAAACACATACTTGTAGCCCTCAAATCGAAATTTGGACAGTGGACTAGGCTCCAAGGACACAAACAGATCTAATGCAGTCAAAAGAGAAACATCTCTCCCCCCCCCCCCCCCCCCCACACTTAAGTTTGACATTGCCCTCAATGGAGAAGAGGGAAGGATAAGGGGAACGATGTTACCGGAGTGCACGAACTGCAGGAGACTGGAAGGGGACCAGTTTGAGTGAAAATGACTGGAGAGGGGACCAGTCGGTGCAAAGGCACAACTAAAGGGGACACAAAAACTCAGCCACAATACGTTAGGTCCAGTTGTCAGCCCAATAGTACATCATCCAAAAGAAGGAAAATAAAATAAACCAAAACACAAGACAGTTTGCACTCTGAATCAAACAAAAGCAACACAAGACGGGCAACGAGTACAGCTTACTCGAGCCCGGCGAAGTCGATCTGGTCCATGATGTCGTCAACCCCATCTGTCGGTGGTGGCGGGGGTGGTGAGTGGTCCCACCGGGTGGTCCAATGGTGCTCCTAAGGCGGGTGGCAGGACTGGAGCAGGTGCTCCTGATACTCCATCATCCGGCGGCTACGGTCCCGCTCCCACTCGATGCAAGCACTAGTGACTCCCAGCTAAGCCTCCATCCGGTCGAGGCGCTCGTCCACAACCGTCATCCGAGACTGGTACTCGGCCTGGTGGGCTGAATACTACTGGTAGAACTGGACCTGATGGTCCATGAGCTGCTGGTTCTGGAGCCCGAGCTGCTGAAACTGGAGCCCCATCTGCTGGAACTGCTCCGTGAAAAAGTCCATCGACGGGCCAGAAACCATCGACGGACTAGAAGGATCGGAGGAGGACTCGCCTCTCTCGGATCTCCGTCGTGGCTGAAGGTCCCCTGGGGGGAGAGCGGGGGCTCCGGCTCATCAGCATCCATGGCCGCCATCATCATCATCATCATCATCATCATCATCATCATCATCATTGTCGCAACCGTCCCTCCGGGGGTCCGTTGTCGTCGCGTCGGCATTTTTGGGAGTCGCCATCGATCTTACTTGGAGTGGATCGAACACTCTTCGAATCGGCTCTAACCTTAAGGTCAGAACCGGGGTTTGGTCTGCGATTAAGAGATATGGGTTCGGGAGTACGGTTACGTGTGGGGAAGTGAAATCACACCCCACAACGCCCTAAATCGGTACTACTTAAGTCGATAAGTTTTTATGCGAGTTGGATGTATTTTAGTAATAATTTTGTAATTTTAGGGTCCCACTGGACCATTAAATAGTTTTACCGTATTGGTTGTAATTAAATTATACGCCCACCGACGTAAAATTAAAAGATAAAGTTAGTTGATTAGTTGGACTCGAACCTTATCGGTTGCCTACGTACCCGTTAGACGGGATCAAAGTCCACGTAGTTCGTTAGGGACCTTGATAATTTTAAATATAATTTTTACCACGTTCCACCGATTGTGGTTCTCGTATTACAATTTTGTTAATAAAATTTCATTTTGATTATTATGATGTTACGAAAATAAATGCAAGAATTTTAGTTATTAAGAAGAAGTTTGATGTATTAAGAAAGAGGCAAAATTAACTTAATCCGCATTTCTGAATTTGGTACTAAAGAACAGAATTGAATGGAAGGATAGTATTTATGCATGATGGGCCAACAGCCCGACCGGTCAATTCACTTGACCTCGATTGAAAAACCGCGAGAGCATGGGTTCGAATCCCAGCCCACCATTATTCTTATTCGTTTTTTTCTTACGGAGAGGGGCAGTTCATTAATTAGACAAAAGGACGGTGGTAGGGTGTGTAATTTTAAGAAACCCTGAGGCTATTCCAGTCATTTATGGGTCAGTATAAAACCGTCTCTTAAACCAGAAATTAAACCCTAATGAAACCTAACCTAGTTCAGCCGCCACTCAATCCTCTCGTCTCTCTTCTCTCTCTTTCTCATCTCCAGAAAACGATCGACGAAAATCTCTCCTTCTAGTCTTTCCCAAATCTCGTTCTCTCTTCTTCCTTCTTCTTTCAGAAGCAAAACCCAAATAGGGATTGAGAAAACCAGACAGATCCAAACCCCAAATCTCACGTCTCTCTGTCTCATCGACGAGAGACTAGGAGAGGGAGCGAACCCTCTTTTACCACGCGTCTGCGACGATGATAGTTACACACGACGCCGGCGATGATGATGACGGCGGCAAAGAAGAAAGTCAAAGGTAGGTTATATTTTCGGGTTGCATGTTGATTTTTTAAGGTGTTTTCAGTTGGATTTAAGGTTCTGTTTTTTTCTTTTTTGAGGTCCGATCAAGGAGAAGTAGGGTAAGCTACTACAGAGGACTAATGGTGAGAACACCGACGGCTGTATCGTCGATGCTGGCGAAGACGGCGACAAAGGTGGGTTTATGTTTCGCTTGTTTAATTTTCGAACTTGGTTTTGTTAGATTTGAGTTTCTGTTCTGATTTTTGTTTTTTATTTGGATTATCGATGGGTTTTGTTCAGGATGAGGCAAGAGAAGGAAAGCCGTCGTCGGCTGTCTGGAGTTTCGCCGGCAATGGCGCGGCGATGGCAGAGTGGCCGTGGAAATGAAGCAGCTTCCGACCGGCGAAGAGGACAACCCCAAAGCCGACAGCTGGGATTTGTTTTTGGTAAGCTTTTTCAATTTTTTGAATGAGTTTGTGGTGTGGGGCGTGGCTACTTTTGAGAAGTATGAGTAATCTGTAATTAGAATTATGTTTGGTTGAGATGTTGGTTTTGGTTTGCTTAATTTCGATCTATTTAGCAAAGCAACTGAATTTTGAGGATTTTTTTGTAGCATATGCTACCTGAAACAACCATTTGCCACAACAATAAAGATAAATCTATATTGCTTTTTAGAGATCCCGCCACTGCTGGTGATCCACTAGACTAAATAAACCGTGTAAAACGAAGTTTGTGAGGATGATATATTGTTAGTATTCTGCCCGAATCCGAGCTCGGATTAAGGGACCCTAATATATAACTAACTATAAGCTACCCTTCGCACCATAAAAAGAAACACAGATTTGATGAAAATAACAACTTTGCTTGCTTTTGATGAAACGGCAAGTATGCAGCAGTATATTAGCTTAACTGAAATAGCAAATATGCAGAAGTAGTGGAAAAACGAACTTAATTACAACTCTGATCATATCTTTCTCAGGGTAAGGAACATCAAGAAGCTTCATTTCCTTTATAATTTCATGCTAAGTTCAATGGTGGTTTATCCCATTCATATATAAACAGATTTGGAAAGTATTTACTAGATTTTGATGGTAGAAACCCAACCTGGTATGTGAAGATGGACTTCTTTTGCGGTTGAATCTTTGCTACTCCTTTGTTCTTCGTTTTCTGCCTTTGCTTCTGCTTGCTGCTACTGCTACTGCTACTGCTACTCCCTTTCCTCTATCGATCCACTGCCCTTTTCTCCTCTCCAACTTGTTGTGTCTTTTGTGTGCTATTTCTCCCTATGTTTATGGAACCAACCTCTCCTTTTCTTTATGCGACTCTTCCCCCTCTGTTCCCTTTCTCTCCTTTGGTTGTAAGAGTGATTTTATACCAAGGTTTTTACTGTTCATATGTGTGTGTTGGCAAGTATTTGTTGGTAGTTTTGAGGGTGGTGGCGCCTGCAGCAGCCATTTTTGTGCCTGAATCTGGTTTTCCTTTAACTGCTTCCTTTTTGTTGCAGGTTGCTGTGTGGTGAGTTTTGAGTGGTCCTTTGAAGAGGTGGCCGCCCTCCTACTTCTATAGGACGGTGGTAGTTTCTGCTACTGCCCCTTCGGTTGGGATATAGGCAGTGGAAATCTGGTTGACTGTGTTAGTTGACATTGGCTTGATTGTGGACCGAAATAATGCTGATTGCTTTCTTCTTCTTTTGCAGTCTTGTAGTTTGTTTTGGGCTTGAAGTGGTGACCAAATTGTTAGAACAAGCTGGGCCACCAGATCTGACTAGTGCCAACAAAGAATGAAGTTTGCAGATTCTGCTTTTTATGTATAATGTATAATAATGTAGTAAATTTTCTTTCGAACCAACCCATGTGTTATTAATCATCATTTATGCTCTTATTATAAAATGTAATCGTTCTTGTATGTTTAGACAAACATTTGATAATAAAGCTTGGCTCTTTTAATCAAGTGCCAAATTACAAATCCCAAACCTTCTGATATCTCTTGGCCGCTAAAGTGCTCAATTCGCAACTATACACAATTGGAGGCCGACAATTTAGGTAGTTTGTGTTTTCCATTGACAACAATTAGTTTGATTTTATGACTAAATACTCGTTGGTTTGTTGGTTCATATTGACTTGCTACTGCTAGTCTCAACCAATTCTATCCAACCTTCAACTTCAAATTCTCCTTTCATTTTTTAAGTAAGATATCATTTTGAGTTTTAAGTAGAGTGGTTGCTCCGGACAAAATGTGGTGTCTACAGCTGCCCCCCTTTGTATATCTCTTTGTATAAAGAGTTATACAAAGTTTCTATAAAGACACCACATTTTGAGAAAGTAGCATGATGGTTGTGTTTGAATTCTAATATATTTCTTCGACGCTCGACAGCGACGACAGATTTTTTGATGCTCGCCAATCATCGTCTGCCTTATTTCTTTAACGTTCGATAGCTCCGGTTTGGTATTTAATGGTAGATGCGTCACTCAGCTCTCGTGCGTTGTTGAATGGTAGAGGGGCTCGCCAGCTCCTGTGAGGTATTGATTGGTAGGGGCGCTCTTCAGCTCCCGTGCGTTGTTGATTGGTAGAGGGGCTCGCCAGCTCCTGTGAGGTATTGATTGGTTGCGGCGCTCTTCAGCTCCCGTGCGTTGTTGATTGGTAGAGGGGCTCGCCAGCTCCTGTGAGGTATTGATTGGTTGGGGCGTTCTTCAGCTCCCGTGCGTTGTTGATTGGTAGAGGGGCTCGCCAACTCCTATGAGGTTTTGAATGGTTGGGGCGCTCCTTAGCTCCCGTGCGTTGTTGATTGGTAGAGGGGCTCGCCAGCTCCTGTGAGGTGTTGATTGGTTGGGGCGCTCTTCAGCTCCCGTGCGTTGTTGATTGGTAGAGGGGCTCGCCAGCTCCTGTGAGGTATTGATTGGTTGGGGCGCTCTTCAGCTCCCGTGCGTTGTTGATTGGTAGAGGGGCTCGCCAGCTCCTGTGAGGTTTTGAATGGTTGGAGCGCTCCTCAGCTCCCGTGCGTTGTTGACTTGTAGAGGGGCTCGCTAGCTCCTGTGAGGTTTTGAATGGTTGGGGCGCTCCTCAGCTCCCGTGCGTTGAGGCTCTTCAGTCATTTTCTATTGTACTTCTTTAACGCTCAACAGCGTTGGCGGATTTGCTGATGCTCGCCATTCATCTTCTACTGTACTTCTTTAACGCTCGACAGCATTGGCGGATTTGCTGATGCTCGCCAGTCATCGTCTACTGTACTTCTTTAACGCTCGACAGCGTTGGCGGATTTGCTGATGCTCGCCATTCATTGTCTACTGTACTTCTTTTACGCTCGACAGCATTGGCGGATTTGCTGATGCTCGCCATTTATCGTCTACTGTACTTCTTTAACGCTCGACAGCGTTGGCGGATTTCCTGATGCTCGCCATTCATCGTCTACTGTACTTCTTTAACGCTCGACAGCGTTGGCGGATTTGCTGATGCTCGCCAGTCATCCTTTACTCGTTTATGATATTTGTTGCAGCCGTGCATAAAGTGATGCAATGACTTGCCATGATTGTTGGTCAAAATAAATGCCAGACTTTGTAATTTGAAAAAACATGCATTTGTTGAGTTTTTCTTTTGTGAAATCATCCGATGGATATCTGAATTTCGTATAGACATGTAATTGCATGATATGTTATAATGATGTCATGAATGTCATGTGAAAATGTAGTATGATGTATGTTTTTTTTTTTTTCTTTAAATTGATCATCCACGAGAAATCATCTCATCGTCCTTTATCGACTTGATCCTTAGTACAAATTCTTGTTTATGTGCCCCCATGGTGAAGGGACAAAATTGCTGGATATTGCTTCGATGTATGTCGTCTGGGAAGTCCATCCTCATAGGAGTAGGGTTTGGAATAATGTGTTCGGCCAGGTGGCCTGCCCATTGTGGGTGCTTATTGTAATGTGAGTGATGTCATGATTGGTTGAGAAGATTTTTCATTCTGAGAAATATATTTTGATGTTGGCTTTGCGTAGAAATTATGTGGTACAACTCAGTTCGTGGCTCGAAGTATTCATGATATATCGAGTTTTTCCTTCTGGTCGAGCCGTTGAAGGGTAGATTGACCCATTCGATTGGATTTAATGAATCATGAGTGCTTTGAAATCTTTGATATGTCTTCGTCTACCTATTCTTTGGAAATCTGAGTATTGAGTACTTTGCAAGTCCACTCTTCCAGGATGTGCTATCCTTGCCCCCCAAAGATCTATACTCTTTTCCAATACTCCAGAAACAAAGAGTAATTCTTATCAATTTCGACTACGGATGAATGCAACAATGTCCAAAACCTTTTGCGAATAATGGAGACTCATTCCATATATCAAAACTTGCTTGAGAGAAGTTTGTGCAAATTGTGTAAATCTGTTTTAGTAAATCAAGCCATGAGAGTACCTATAAGCCCTCGCTTTCATTATCACTCACACTCTTCTTTTGCGTTCTCGCTCATTCCTATGGGTGTTTCGAGTTTACGACATTTCAGCTACCATTAAGATTCAGGTCACTATGAGATGTCTCCTTCAGTTGGTGTTCAGATGAGCTCGAGGTTCAGGTTTTCTCAACACAGGAAAGTTTTGCGTGATTGGTTTTGGCGATCTTCATATGTTCTTGTAGTGGAGGTATGTAATCTTTCCCTAAAGGAGGTTGTTGGTTGAACCTGACTTTAATCGTGAGGATCTTCCTGCCCTGTGATTCTGTTTTCCTCAAGATGTGAGTTTGAGTGGCGAGATAGTAGAAACTTGTAGTGAATATGTTCTAGTAATATGAAGCTTTTTTATGAGGAATTTTGGCTTGCCCCCCAAAGTATGAGATCAAATGGTGTATAGGAGGTCGTTGATGGGTTTGTAGGTTTTTTTCATTGAGGTGGTCTCTCCTACTTGAAAATAGTGGTGAATATTGGTCATTTTTGGGGAGTGCATTTTTTGGCTTGTGTTCCCCCTTTCTTTTGAAACTTTGCTTTTTAAGAGACAAATTCGAATAGGGAGCAAATGAATTCTCGATAGGTCCCAAAGTGGCATGTTGAGGAGGTTTTTGTGTGAAGTGGCAATGACTATAAAGGTTTCTTATCAGGTAAGCTCTTGCTTGAGGTTCCACTCGTTGTTGGTCGAGGCTGGTCGGCAGACCTTGAGTTGTGCGAGTGGTTATGACTCAATATGGCATCAAATGGTCATGTAAGTTGTAAGTCCCACAATACTTTTCTTCGCCTTTTTGGCTCACTTTTTTTTCTGAATGGGACTTACTTTACTTTGTTATGCACCCATATATATTTCATTAATTCTCTTCTACGACATTTGTGTTTCTAAGAGCGATCACAGGTGTTTCGATGATCGACAAGGTGAGTGCCTCCCAAAGAAGCAAGATCTTTGAGAGTTTTCTTTTTGTAATGACGTTAACCATGTATTTCCTGTGCGTCATGAATCTGTTGATTGATTTTCTGCCTAGTTGGATATCAGTTTGCTAGTAAAGGCACGTCGTGTTAGTGACAAGATTCTACAAATAGCCTGGTGTCGTATCCTCGTTTGACCCTTCGACTATTAGCTCACATGATTTTTATGGACACCAGTGGGGTGTTTATACTCTCAAATCTAGGGGAGGGTACGCACTCTCAACGTCAGTGGGGTGCTCAAAATATCGACACCAGTAGGGTGTTTAATCGCTCGACACCAGTGGGGTGTTCCAACTCTCAACACCAGTGGGGTGCTCATAATTGCTTATCATGGCAATCTCATGGATGAACTTGAAAACATGTGATGGATTTAAGAGTTTTTTGTTTTATCAAGTCGAAATATTTGAAAGAGACATTCATTATTTGGAAAGATAAAGGCTATTGATGCAAAATCCAAAATCGAGATTGATACTTATCACAAAATGTCCCAAGTAGGTGGACATATGAGTGATCTTTTATTCCATATGATGAAAGCAAAAGTAGCACATCTGAAACATGACCAACTATCTCGATATTTATTTGTTCTCAAAGATCCACATGATCCTTGAATCGAGCATTGCTAAATGGGATGCATACTAACTGTTGTGACTTGGTAGAGGGTTGTTGTTGATGTTTGGAGGGTTCAGCGTTTCCTAGAATTTTAGCCATCCGGCTTCCACCATTTGTTGGACTTTGATCTTGAACATGCGACAATCTTCAGTTGAGTGTCCCGTGACTCCCGAGTGGTAGGCAGAGTGTTGCTCGGACTTGTACCATTTTGGATATGGAGGTTGCATTGGAAGACATGGTATAGGGGCAATTAAGTGATTTTGGAGCAACTGGGGAAATAGCTCGGTATATGTGATGGGGATAGGATCAATATGAACTTGTTTTCCGTATCTTCTGAAACTATTTTGATTTTGGTCATTTTCTTGTGGGGGCGTGGGTAGCGGAGTTTTGATTCCTAGTTGTGGGCTGATTATGCTATGAGGTTTCGTCGGTGTGGGAGTTGCAAAAGATGCACAAGCTTGATTCTTTTGAAAGTGGTACTTCGAAGTTTTGCCTTATGCTTCACCTTGAGTTGATCGCAATTCACATTTATTTCTTTTGCTTTGGATTGCCTTCTCAACCACCTCATGATTATCTGACTTTCCTTGTCTGATGTCGATCATATGCTCTTCAAGCCTTTCTGAACTTCGCGGATTGTCGTATTTTGATTTTTTTTATAGCATATACGTTCGTTGAGAGTAATAGATCAGTCTGATCACTTGATTTTGCTTTCCTGGGCGGTTGGTATAAAATTTCGTCATCGAACAACGCATCATCATCTTTTACTCCCGCTGTCTTCTCGTTGTTTGACAGAATCCTCAGAATCATGCTCACATCCTCTTTCATCTCTTCAAGACCAATCAATCTTTTCTTGATTTCAGCTAAATCCTTCAAAATTGTCTCCATGATGGGTTCAATCTTAGATCTTGTCGAACACTTAATGATTTGACTCTTTCCTCGTGAGTGATTGATTTTAGGAACTCTAAACCATCTCAAATCTGAAAAGTAATTTCCGATTTTTATGATGAATGTGTATGCGTGATGCTTATGCAAAATGTGAATGATGTATGAATGCAAATTCATTTTTTAATCTTATGCATGCGTTTTTTAATCTTCTTATGATAAGTTGTTAATGAGTGAATGAAAATCTTATGAGAGAATGATGTTTATGAATTTTGAAAACGTTTTTCATTCATGCAATCACACAGTTTTACGAGTAAAAGATAAAACACATATAATTACATCGTAAGCAAACATACATTTGGATAAGTAAACACATATAATTACATCATTACCCTATTTAGGTAGACCTAGGGCTTTCGGACGGCGTACCGACATGGTTTTAAGGTGGCTTTGAGGATTGTTTTGGACGGCTTAAGGAGGTCTCTATGCTTACTATATGCTGGCAGGGGGAATTCCTAGGGATTTGGCTCCCAAGTTGTATCCTGCCGTAGCCCTTTCGAACTGGCTAGATACCTCGGCATCATCCTCGGATCCGAGTTCAACTTGGTTAGAAAGTTTTGCGTGACAACCACTACTATGGAAGTCACGGTACTCCTTTCAATTTGCTAAAGGGATAGCTCGGGCATAGAGCTTTTGTGCATGAATGCAGAATTAAATTGCGAAAATATAATTGCGCAAATAAGAAAGTAAACACCCAACACGTAATAGGAAAATAGTAAACTTATCGAACTTAATTATGTAGCTTGCCTCTCGAAGTCCCCAGCAGAGTCGCCAACTGTCGCAACCGTCCCTCCGGGGGTCCGTTGTCGTCGCGTCGGCATTTTTGGGAGTCGCCATCGATCTTACTTGGAGTGGATCGAACACTCTTCGAATCGGCTCTAACCTTAAGGTCAGAACCGGGGTTTGCTCTGCGATTAAGAGATATGGGTTCGGGAGTACGGTTACGTGTGGGGAAGTGAAACCACACCCCACAACGCCCTAAATCGATACTACTTAAGTCGATAAGTTTTGATGCGAGTTGGATGTATTTTAGTAATAATTTTGTAATTTTAGGGTCCCACTGGACCATTAAATAGTTTTACCGTATTGGTTGTAATTAAATTATACGCCCACCGACGTAAAATTAAAAGATAAAGTTAGTTGATTAGTTGGACTCGAACCTTATCGGTTGCCTACGTACCCGTTAGATGGGATCAAAGTCCACATAGTTCGTTAGGGACCTTGATAAATTTAAATGTAATTTTTACCACGTTCCACCGATCGTGGTTCTCGTATTACAATTTTGTTAATAAAATTTCATTTTGATTATTATGATGTTACGAAAATAAATGCAAGAATTTTAGTTATTAAGAAGAAGTTTGATGTATTAGGAAAGAGGCAAAATTAACTTAATCCGCATTCTGAATTTGGTACTAAAGAACAAAATTGAATGGAAGGATAGTATTTACGCATGATGGGCCAACAGCCCGACCGGTCAATTCACTTGACCTCGATTGAAAAACCGCGATAGCATGGGTTCGAAACCCAGCCCACCATTATTCTTATTCGTTTTTTTCTTACGGAGAGGGACAGTTCGGTAATTAGACAAAAGGACGGTGGTAGGGTGTGTAATTTTAAGAAACCCTGAGGCTATTCCAGTCATTTATGGGTCAGTATAGTATAAAACCGTCTCTTAAACCAGAAATTAAACCCTAATGAAACCTAACCTAGTTCAGCCGCCACTCAATCCTCTCGTCTCTCTTCTCTCTCTTTCTCATCTCCAGAAAACGATCGACGAAAATCTCTCCTTCTAGTCTTTCCCAAATCTCATTCTCTCTTCTTCCTTCTTCTTTCAGAAGCAAAACCCAAATAGGGATTGAGAAAACCAGACAGATCCAAACCCCAAATCTCACGTCTCTCTGTCTCATCGACGAGAGACTAGGAGAGGGAGCGAACCCTCTTTTACCACGCGTCTGCGACGATGATAGTTACACCTGACGCCGGCGATGATGATGACGGCGGCGAAGAAGAAAGTCAAAGGTAGGTATTATTTTCGGGTTGCATGTTGATTTTTTAAGGTGTTTTCAGTTGGATTTAAGGTTCTGTTTTTTTTTTCTTTTTTGAGGTCCGATCAAAGAGAAGTAGGGTAAGCTACTACAGAGGACTAATGGTGAGAACACCGACGGCTGTATCGTCGATGCTGGCGAAGACGGCGACAAAGGTGGGTTTATGTTTCGCTTGTTTAATTTTCGAACTTGGTTTTGTTAGATTTGAGTTTCTGTTCTGATTTTTGTTTTTTATTTGGATTATCGATGGGTTTTGTTGAGGATGAGGCAAGAGAAGGAAAGCCGTCGTCGGCTGTCTGGAGTTTCGCCGGCAATGGCGCGGCGATGGCAGAGTGGCGGTGGAAATGAAGCAGCTTCCGACCGGCGAAGAGGACAACCCCAAAGCCGACAGCTGGGATTTGTTTTTGGTAAGCTTTTTCAATTTTTTGAATGAGTTTGTGGTGTGGGGCGTGGCTACTTTTGAGAAGTACGAGTAATCTGTAATTAGGATTATGTTTGGTTGAGATGTTGGTTTTGGTTTGCTTAATTTCGATCTATTTAGCAAAGCAACTGAATTTTGAGGATTATTTGTAGCATATGCTACCTGAAACAACCATTTGCCACAACAATAAAGATAAATCTATATTGCTTTTTAGAGATCCCGCCACTGCTGGTGATCCACTAGACTAAATAAACCGTGTAAAACGAAATTTGTGAGGATGATATATTGTTAGTATTCTGCCCGAATCCGAGCTCGGATTAAGGGACCCTAATATATAACTAACTATAAGCTACCCTTCGCACCATAAAAAGAAACACAGATTTGATGAAAATAACAACTTTGCTTGCTTTTGATGAAACAGCAAGTATGCAGCAGTATATTAGCTTAACTGAAATAGCAAATATGCAGAAGTAGTGGAAAAACGAACTTAATTACAACTCTGATCATATCTTTCTCAGGGTAAGGAACATCAAGAAGCTTCATTTCCTTTATAATTTCATGCTAAGTTCAATGGTGGTTTATCCTATTCATATATAAACAGATTTGGAAAGTATTTACTAGATTTTGATGGTAGAAACCCAACCTGGTATGTGAAGATGGACTTCTTTTGCGGTTGAATCTTTGCTACTCCTTTGTTCTTCGTTTTCTGCCTTTGCTTCTGCTTGCTGCTACTGCTACTGCTACTGCTACTCCCTTTCCTCTATCGATCCACTGCCCTTTTCTCCTCTCCAACTTGTTGTGTCTTTTGTGTGCTATTTCTCCCTATGTTTATGGAACCAACCTCTCCTTTTCTTTATGCGACTCTTCCCCCTCTGTTTCCTTTCTCTCATTTGGTTGTAAGAGTGATTTTATACCAAGGTTTTTACTGTTCATATGTGTGTGTTGGCAAGTATTTGTTGGTAGTTTTGAGGGTGGTGGCGCCTGCAGCAGCCATTTTTGTGCCTGAATCTGGTTTTCCTTTAACTGCTTCCTTTTTGTTGCAGGTTGCTGTGTGGTGAGTTTTGAGTGGTCCTTTGAAGAGGTGGCCGCCCTCCTACTTCTCTAGGACGGTGGTAGTTTCTGCTACTGCCCCTTCGGTTGGGATATAGGCAGTGGAAATCTGGTTGACTGTGTTAGTTGACATGGGCTTGATTGTGGACCGAAATAATGCTGATTGCTTTCTTCTTCTTTTGCAGTCTTGTAGTTTGTTTTGGGCTTGAAGTGGTGACCAAATTGTTAGAACAAGCTGGGCCACCAGATCTGACTAGTGCCAACAAAGAATGAAGTTTGCAGATTCTGCTTTTTATGTATAATGTATAATAATATAGTAAATTTTCTTTCGAACCAACCCATGTGTTATTAATCATCATTTATGCTCTTATTATAAAATGTAATCGTTCTTGTATGTTTAGACAAACATTTGATAATAAAGCTTGGCTCTTTTAATCAAGTGCCAAATTACAAATCCCAAACCTTCTGATATCTCTTGGCCGCTAAAGTGCTCAATTCGCAACTATACACAATTGGAGGCCGACAATTTAGGTAGTTTGTGTTTTCCATTGCAAACAATTAGTTTGATTTTATGACTAAATACTCGTTGGTTTGTTGGTTCATATTGACTTGTTACTGCTAGTCTCAACCAATTCTATCCAACCTTCAACTTCAAATTCTCCTTTCATTTTTTAAGTAAGATATCATTTTGAGTTTTAAGTAGAGTGGTTGCTCCGGACAAAATGTGGTGTCTACAATCATCATCATCATCATCATCGCCTTCCTCGCCGGTGTAGTCGTCTTCGTCCTCATCCTCATCAAGATCTGCATCCTCCTCAGGGGGCAAAGGCAGCCCATCCACCCAGGAGCGGGCGCCATTAGAGGCCAGGAGCAGTGCATTGTGAAGCACATCCCGGCTGAGAGGGCTGGAGCCGCCCCATGCTGAGGCATCCGTGAGTCCCTCCAGGTCAATCTCGAAGTGGCGCGCCAGTCGGGTGATGAGAGGACCACAGAAGAGATGGTTGGGTTTCCCGTGGCAACGAGAGAAGGTGTTAGCCACGAAAGAACCCAAGTGTAGCATGTGCTCCGGGTACCCCATCGAATACATGGCGTAGAGCACCCACTTCGGGATCTTGTGCGAACCAGTGGCATTGGGGACGATGGAGCGGGTGATCACCAGGTTGAGGATGTGCCACTGCGGCTTAAGGGTGCGGACGTATGTCTGGTCGGCGTCGAAGTAGTCCATCCCATAGGCGCGTCGAGCTATCTGGTGGTAGAACCCATCCTGGTTCCAGTCCTGTGGATGGGGGATCTCGAGCTCATGAGGGGAATATTGGTGGTACTGGATTCCCAGCGCGAAGGCCCAGACTATCAATGCTCATCTTCCGTGGCCTGCCACCCAGCCTGAATGTCACACCGATGGGGGAATCGCGGGCCGCTTTGGAGCGGTACTGGTAGGTGGTGTAGAACACCCACACCAGCTCTGTGTAGGTGGGCTCGTCAATGGTCAGCAACGTCCGCCAATCACGGTGGCTGATGGCGGTGGAGATCTCATTCAAGCAGTGGAGCTGCTCGAAGACTCCCCACTCCAGATGGTGATGGCGCTGGAGCACTCCGCGGGTGACCTTGCGGAACTGGTCGGCGTACTCCGGGTGCAGGCGCAGGTCCTGCATGAACGGGCGATCGAGTGACATGATCCTGCCAAATCAACAAATCAAAGGTGGAGCCAAGAAAATACTCGTTAGGACCAACAGTATGGGTTCATCACTTCCCCCACACTTAAGGACCACCTAGGCTAACAGTTTAAGCACAAACGGTTGAATCGCAAGCAACACAACCGCAATCAAGGCAAGAATCAAGCATAACCGACCCATTCAAGCAACTGAACATCACACAAGAGCCAAATATAACCACGACATCCCTCACCCTATTCGAAATCAAACATGCCAGGCAAATCAAAGTTCTCAGTCCTAAGGTCTATATTCCGATTTTCCAGAAAAATGATTAAATCTAGCAGGGAACACACCTGGAAACGCAAGTAGGACCGTAGAGGAGACACGAGAGAAAGGTGAGGGACGCGAAACCGTGCCCAAAATGACCCGGAAAACTCGCCGGAAAGCCGTCGGAAAGTGGCCAGCGGCGGAGGACGGCGGCCGGCGGCAGAGGACGGCGACCGGCGTCGACCAAAGTGGAGAGAGGGGAGAGGAAAGGAGAGGATGAGATGGGAAGTTTTGGAAAAAATGAGAGGAGAGAGAAGGTGTCTACCGGGTGTTTGCTTAAATAGCAAAAATACCCGGCCGGGCCTCAAAAATACCCGGTCGGGTATTCTTGAGGCACGATCGGGGATTCAAAACACGGGCGTACCACGTTTTGGGAAACCCATGGCCTTGAACCAAAAATACCCGGTCGGGGATTTTTGGGTCAAGGTCAGGGGTTTGCTCTTTTGGCGCCCCGGAACACAGAAGGGGTCCCGACCATGACACAAAAATACCCGGTCGGGTATTTTGTGGCACGGCCGGGTTTTCCCCCATTTTCAGCCAAAAGTCTCATTCTCTCATTTTTTCGAACTCCCTTGCACGAAAACACCAAACCGAGGCAGATCAAACGATCGAACTTCAACACAGACGTGCAACTGACTCAAACTCGACTCAAAAAACACAAAAAAGGGAAAAAGAAATGCAAACCGTGGTGGGGTTGCCTCCCCACAAGCGCTTCTTTACCGTCTTTTAGCTGGACGCCCATGACGGAACTAAGGGTCCGCGAGTTCAACCACCAACTCCGCTCGTTCGACCTCGTCTCCCAGGTAGAGTTTGAGACGATGGCTGTTCACTTTAAACGGTTCAATTTTCGGGTTGGCAATTTCAATCGTGCCATATGGGAACACCTGTGTGACCGTGAACGGTCCAGACCACAGGGAGCGGAGCTTTCCAGGAAAGAGCTTCAGGCGAGAGTTATAGAGGAGAACTCGATCACCAACCTGAAACTCCTTCAGACCCCGCAACCGTGCGTCGTGCAGGCGCTTAGTGCGCTTCTTGTACAACTTGGTGTTCTCATAGGCGTGATAACGCCATTCCTCCAGCTTCATCATCTGCATTTTGCGTTCAACACCTGCAACACTAACATCCAAGTTGAGCAGCTTAAGGGCCCAAAAGGTCTTCTGCTATAGCTCCACGGGAAAATGACATGACTTTCCATAGACAAGCCGGTACGGTGAAGTACCAATGGGTGTCTTGTAGGCAGTGCGGTATGCCCAGAGAGCATCATCGAGCTTGGTGGACCAATCCTTGCGGGACTGATCCACCATTTTCTCCAAGATACGCTTGAGCTCCCGGTTCGTCAGCTCGGCCTGGCCACTTGTTTGAGGGTGATAGGCCACGGACACCTTATGAGTGACACCATAGCGAGATAGTAACTTATCAAACTGGCCCTAGAAATGGGTGCCTCGATCGCTTATGATGGCTCTAGGTGTCCCGAACCAGGAGAATAGCTGCTTCAAAAAAACCACAAACACGTCTAGCATCATTAGTGGGCAAAGCTTGCGCCTCAGCCCACCTAGATACGTAGTCAACAACAACTAAGATGTAAGTGTTTCCAAAGGATGGAGGGAAGAGGCCCATGAAGTCGATACCACAGACATCAAAAATTTCACAGGTTATAAAAACATTTTGGGGCATCTCATCACGGGCAGAGATATTACCTGACCTCTGGCATTTGTCGCACCTGCGTGCGAAGGCGTCTGCGTCCTTGAAGAGCGTGGGCCAGTAAAAGCCCGACTGTAGCACCTTCCTCGCGTGCGGTTTCCTCCATGGTGACCTCCAGTAGGTCCTTCATGACAGTGAGATAGAATGCCCTCCTTCTCCCTGTCCATGACACAGTGACGGATGATCCCGTCGGCTCCGATCCTGAAGAGATGAAGGTCATCCCTGAAGTAATGCTTCAGGTCGGAGAAGAATTTTCTCTTGGTGTGAGTTGTCATCCCCTTAGGCAGCTGCTGGCCTACCAGATAATTCGCAAAATCGGAGTACCAAGGGGTGACACTCTCCACCATGCACATCATCATCAATCTCTCATCTGGGAAAGAGTTGTTGATCTCCTCCTCAAGGTTGTACGCAGGTGGTGCGTCCAACCGGGAGAGGTGATCAGCAGCAACATTTTCAGCTCCCTTCTTGTCTCGAATCTCGATGTCGAACTCCTGCAATAGTATGATCCATCATATGAGCCTAGGCTTGGCATCGGCCTTGGTCATCAGGTATCAAATCATGGAGTGATCTGTGTACACGGTCACATGGGACAAGACCAGATAAGGACGAAACTTGTCGAAAGCAAACACCACCGCGAGCAGCTCCTTCTCCGTGGTGGTGTATTTCTCTTGGGCATCATTGAGGGTCTTCGAGGCGTAATAGATATGACGAAAATGTTGATCTCACCTCTGCCCCAAGACAGCTCCAATAGCAAAGTCACTAGTATCTCACATCAGCTCGAACGGTAGGGACCAATCAGGGGCGACCATGATAGGAACATGAGTGAGCTTCTCCTTCAAGGTCGTGAATGCCGCTGTGCATGTATCGGTGAACTGGAAAGGGGCATCCTTCTCAAGGAGATTAGTCAGGGGCATGGCGATCTTCGAAAAATCCTTGATGAAACGCTTGTAGAACCCTGCATGGCCTAAGAAAATCCGTATCCCCTTAACATATGTGGGAGGAGGCAGCATGCTGATAGTCTCGATCTTGGCTCTGTCCACCTCAATCCACATCTTGGAGATCTTGTGCCCCAGAACTATGCCTTCACGAACCATGAAATGAAACTTCTCCCAACTAAGTGCCAGGTTCGTTTCTTCACACCGTTTAAGGACGAGTTCTAGGTTATGGAGACAATGAGAGAATGAGTCCCCATAAACCGAAAAGTCGTCCATAAACGCCTCCATAATCTCGCCGACCAGGCGGTCAAAGATGGCGAGCATGCATGGCTGAAAGGTGGCAGGGGCATCCCATCCATGAAACAGTAGAACTCGTGCCCCGCCAGTCTCTCCAGCATCTGATCAATGAACGGCAGCGGGAAGTGGTCCTTCCGAGTGGCATCGTTGAGACCCGGTAATCGATGCAGACACGGTACCCAGTCACCATGCGTATCGGGATGAGCTCGTTCTTCTCGTTAGGCACCACGGTCATCCCATCCTTTTTGGGTACCACCTAGGTGGGACTGACCCACTCGCTGTCGGAAATGGCAAAGATGATCCCCACGTCCATTAGCTTCACGATCTCCGCCCGAACCACAACCTCCAAGTTCGGTGTCAGTCTCCTCTGCGGCTATCTCACTGGCCGCATCTCATCCTCTAGCAGTTTCCGGTTGGAGCAGAAGGAGGGGCTGATCCCCCGAATATCAGTGATCTTCCACGCCAGAGCTCGCTCGTACTGCTTCAGCAAGGCCACCATTCTGACCTTCTGCTCGGGTGTGAGG